CCCCCCCCCCCCTTCCGTCTAGTCTCTGTTTTGCTCCTGGTGGTCTTAAAGAAGTAAGCAGCCACTTGTTCTAGAACTGCAAGGAAACGGTTCTCTGCCAACGAGCACACAAGCTTGGAAGACAACCCAACCTCAGCTGAGATCCCAGACCTGGATGACACTGTGACCGAAGGTGTATGAGGTTCTGAGGAGGAAACCTCAGCTGAGCTGTTCCTGAACTCCTCACCGAAAGAAACAGCTTGTGATCATTTGTTATGGTGGTGACAGAAAACTAATACAAGGAAACCGAAAAGTTAATTTTATTACAGCTCAACCATCGAGTACACATCTTTTAATATTCTGTGATGAAGTGGGAAGCATGCTTACAGCATTTCTGTTCCACTCCAAAGTCCTATAGTTGACTCAAAAAAGCACATGTGTGACTGTTTCAAATCTGCTTTGTATCAGCTGCTTTCTGTCATGAAAGACTACTTTTACTAGAAAGAAAGAATGACGGGCTAACTATGGTTATGGCAGCTTGAGTATTTGGAAGGTGTTTTCTTGAAAATGAATGAAATGGGGCTGTCACTTTAAAGAAAACCACTGGCAGTACTTGTTGCCAGTGATAATATTTCAAACAAAAAAGAGAATTTTGAAAAATCTATATCTACCACTGTGAGCTTAACAACTTTCCAATACTTAAAGACTTTTTCTAATGAGATGGTGGTGATATTAACAAATGTGAATTTGGGGCACTGAATAATGAAATATGGCATTATTTGGAAGGTCAAAAGACTTAAGAGCATCAATATTTTCCAAATGACCAATGTGTAATGCACAAAACCATGAATGGGTAAAAGTTCCACTAAAAAGTACATGAGAATCCCTGGGGAGTTTAATGAAATCAACTATGGAAAATTTGTTGATATGGTTTCACATTCTACACTGCACTTAACCTATAAGAAACAACCAGTGGTCGAGTTTGGGTGTCTTACCAAAGAAAAATGATGTGAATCAATGATCTGAAAAGTCTATTAAAATATTCTTCCCCGGGCCTCCCTGGTGGCGCAGTGGTTGAGAGTCCGCCTGCCGATGCAGGGGACGCGGGTTCGTGTCCCGGTCCGGGAAGATCCCACATGCCGCAGAGCGGCTGGGCCCGTGAGCCACGGCCGCTGGGCCTGCGCGTCCGGAGCCTGTGCTCCGCAACGGGAGAGGCCACAACAGTGTGAGGCCCGTGTACCGCAAAAAAAAAAAATTAAATAAATTAAAAACAAAATATTCTTCCCCTTTTTCAATGGCGTATCTCTTATAAGGCCAGATCTCCTTCATATACATCAACTGTAACAACATATCACAACTTGAGCCCAGAAGGAGATGGAGATGTGAGAGTCTAGATCTTCTTTTTCTGGCCGCACCACAGCATGCGGGATCTTAGTTCCCCAACCAGGAAGTGCGGAGTCTTAACCACTGGACCGCCAGGGAAGTCCCCTAGCTTTCCTACTAAGATAGACATTATAGAAATATGCAAAAATGTACAATGATACCACTTTTCTCACTAAATTGTCTTTATCTTGCCATAGTTATTTCTCATAAAATCTGCTATTTATGTTATTAACATGTGTGTGTTTACTGTTGTTCATTTTAATTTTTTTCCAGTTTTAGATTCAAAGATGATAAATATCAATAGATGTGACCCACATCTCAATAGAGAGTCTCAATAATTTGGCGAGTCCTGAGACCAAAACGCTTGACAACCAGTGTTGTAGGGTTCTCCTGGGCTTTGAAGTACCCCCAGCTCTGCCAGGCCAGGAGTGGCTCTGTGGGCTGTTGTAGTTAATGAGCTACACCCTGACCAGGGAGCTACAGCACTGGCCTGTGCCTTCAACCAGCTGTGACTTACCTCCTCCTCCTGCACTCGGCTTCCTGTGGCCATGATCTTGATCATCCAAAGCATCGGCCAAGTCAAATTCTTTTTCGTCAGGGGGCCCTAAAACATAAAAGACAAAGTCAGTTGGTTAAATTACAGGTAGCTCATTTGGACATGGCCCCAGAGAGCTCCACGGGGTCCCTCCTTAGTGCCCTCCTCAGAACAGCCGTGTTACCTGCAGGCTTTGCTGGAGCTCTGGTCGCTCCCGGTCTCCTGGTTGTGGTGGTGACACGGTCCCATCTCTCTAAAAGGGGGAAGGGGGACAGCAAGGGGAGCACAATTAGTAACGACACACAGCAGCCACTGCACGGCTCAGGGAAGTCACAGCACGAGCACAGCACTCCTGTCCTGGTCCTTGAGGTCCCTCTAATGCCTCTGAAGAACCACCTTGAGGATGACAAAGAGATGTAAGAGGGTTTACATGAGACGAGTTCTGCTTGCTTTTCTTCACAGGATGGGTGGTGAGGTGGACATGATCCCACATTTGATCTGGTGATTAGTGGAGCTGGGACTTGAGCCCAGATCTACAGGAGATGACCACATGCTTCAGGGGGTCCCAGAGCTTGAGCACAACCCCTGAGAGCTCCAAGCCTTGGCTGTCACCACTCTCAACACGGCACCGTAATCACAGGTAATACTGCCCAGGGATGAAGTGACGCTATGTTCCCAGCAGAGTATGGGAGTGTCTCATCATCAGCTGAAAGTGGTTACAACACCAACAAAATATTTTATATAAGTGTGGTTACTGCTGTTAATACTAGGTCTTTCAGCTCAACCCTATTCCTTTAAAATTGTGGACTTCTTGCCCATCAATTACGCAGCATATGCCACACATGAGTTTTCCAATAGTTTTTCTTGAACTTCAAGACTCCCGTAACTGTTCCTATAATTGGAGGTAGCAGAGGGACAGGAAATTTAAGGGAAGGGAAAGGCATAGACAGTGCTGTATACAGTAAGCACTTAGAATAGAAACAGCAATGTTTGTGGGGAAAAAAACCTCAATGACTTTTACAGATCAATAATATAATCCTCAAACTGTCCAGGTAATTTACAATGCATTACCTATCTTTTTTGGATAGAGCCTTGGGGTTGTCTATGGATCAAAGAATTATAAGTCTGAATCTTCTGGAAAGAGTTTAAAAAACACAGAAAGACATGACCTGCCAGTTCTCACTAGCAATAAAGGGGGATGTCACATAATGATAAAGGATCAATCCACTAAGAGCACATAACAATTGTAAATGTGTATGCACCAAACAACAGAGTCTCAAAACACATGAAGCTAAAACTCAGAGAGCTGAGAAAAGAAATAAACAAATCCACAAGTATAGTTGGGGACATCAATACTCTACTCTCAGCAACTGACAGAACTACTAGAATGAAAACAAGCAAGGATATAGAAGAACTAAACAACACAATCAACTAACAGGATGTAACTGGCATAATGGACACTACCCAATCGCAGCAGAGTAAGTAACTGTTTCAGCACTCATGGAATATTCACCAACAGATCACACCCTGAACCAGAAAGCAAACCTCAACAAATTTAAAAGTACTGAAGTGATAGAGAGTGGTACCTCTGACTGTAATGGAATCAAACTAGAAACAACCAAACCAAAAGCAAATAAGAGAAAACAAGAAAATCTCTAAACACTTGGAAATAAACAACACACTTTGAAATAAAACAAGGGTCAATGAGAAAGTCTCAAAATGAAATTTTAAGAATAAATAGCCCTAATGAAAACACAGCATATCAAAATATGAGAGATGTAGCTAAAGTAATGCTCAGAGGGAAGTTTATAGCACTAAATGCTTAAATTAGAAACAAAGAAAGGTCTCAAATCAATAATCCAAGTTCCCAACCCAAGATTCTAGAAGATGAAGAGCTAGATACTAGGAAAACAAACCCAAAGCAAGCAGACAGAAGGAAATAATGTAAGAGCAGAAATCAATGAAATTGAAAATAGAAAAGTAAAATAGATCAACTAAATGGCTTGTTCTTTGAAAAAGTCAGTAAAATTGATACACCTCTAGCCTTACTAACAAATATAATTGAAAAAAACCCCAAAATACTAATATAAGGAATGAAACAGCAGATATCATTATAGATTCTGTACTATTAAAAGAATAATAAGAAAATGCTACGAACAACTTTATGTATTTGACAACTTAGAAGAAATGGACCAATTCCTTGAAATCCACAAACTATCACAACTCAACTCAATCCCATGTTCACATAACATAAGACTAATATTGTTAAGATGACAACACTACCCAAAGTGATCTACAGATTCAGTGCCATCTCTACCAAAATCCAAAACAGTTTTTTGGGCAGACTTAGAAAACCCCACCCTAAAATTCATACGGAGTCTCAAGAGACCCCAAATAGACAAAAGAATCTTGAAAAAGAAGAACTCACTTTCCTGATTTCAAAACTTACTACAAAGCTACAGCAATCAAAACAGTGTGGTACTGGCATAAGAACAGACATATAGACTAACGGAACAGAACAGAAAGCCCAGACATAACTCTATGGTCAATATGTTCTTGACAAGGGTACCAAGAAACTGAATATCCACATGCCAAAGAATGAAGTTGGACCCTTACCTTACACCATATATAAAAATTAATTCAAAGTGGATCAAAGTCCTAAACATAAGAGCTAAAACTATAAAACTCTTAGGAAAAAACATAGGGGAAAATCTTCATGATACTGGATTTGGTAATGACTTCTTGGATATGACACCAAAAGCATAGGCAACAAAAGGAATAATAGATAAATTGGCCCTCATCAAAAGTAAAGCCTTTTGTGCAAAGGACACTATCAAGAGAATCAAAAAACAATCCCAGAATGAGAGAATACATTCATAAATCACATAACCAGTAAGAGATTAAAATCCAGACTATATAAAGGACTCCTACAACAATTAAAAAAATGAGATTTAAAGATGGGCAAAGAACTTGAATAGACATATCTTCAAAGAAGATATACAAATGGTCAATAAGCACATGAAAAATGCTCAAAGTATTGGTCATTAGGGAAATGTAAATCAAATCCACGAGGAGATACCACTTCACACTCATTAGGATGGCTATTATCAAAAGAAAAATGAGGGCTTCCCTGGTGGCGCAGTGGTTGAGAGTCCGCCTGCCGATGCAGGGGACACGGGTTTGTGCCCCGGTCTGGGAAGATCCCACATGCTGTGGAGCCTGCGCGTCCGGAGCCTGTGCTCTGCAACGGGAGAGGCCACAACAGTGATGAGGCCCGCGTACCGCAAAAAAAAAAAAAAAGAAAAAAAGAAAAAAAAAGAAAAATGAAAAATAACAAGTGTTGGTGAGGATGTGGAGAAACTGGAACCCTGGTATGTTGCTGGTGGGAATGTATAAAATGGTGCAGCTGCTGTGGAAAACACTTTGGTGATTACTCAAAAATTTAAACGTAGAATTACTGTATGATCCTTCCATTCCACCTCTAGGTATAAGCCCAAAAGGACTGAAGGCAGGGACTCAAACGGATACCTGCACAATGTTCAATACAGCACTATTCACAACAGACAAAGGGTAGAAACAACTCAAACGTCTGCCAGTTTATAAACAGATAAAATATGGTATATGCACACAATGGAATATTACTCAGTCTTATAAAGGAATGAAATTCTGATACATGCAACAACATGGAGAAACTTTGAAAACATTATGCTAAGTGAAATAAGCCAGACATGAAAGGACATATCTTGTATGATTCCACTTATTTCAGGTACCTAGAATGGGAAAATTCTTAGAGACAGAAAGTAGAACAGAGGTTAGCAGGGGTTCAGGGTAGAGGAAAATGAGGAGTTACTGTTTACTGGGTACAGAGTTTCTGTTTGGGATGAGGAGAAAGTTCTGGAAATGGATAGTGGTGACGGTTGTACAACATTGAGAATGTACTTAATGCCAATGAACTGCACATTTAAAATGGTTAAAATGGTAAATTCTATGTTACTATGTTTACCACAATAAAAAAATAATTCAACCTAGATGAAAACACAATCTGAATATTTCTATAACCATTAATGAAACAGAATTTTTAATTTAAAAGCTCCTAAAAAAAGAAATTTCCAGGCTTTTTGATGGTTTCACTGGTAAATTTTACCAAGCATTTAAAGAGGAATTAACACCAGTTTTATAAAACCTCTTCCAGAAAATAAAGAGGAGGGATATTTCCCAACTTATTTTATGAGGCCAGCATTGACCTTTTAATAAACACAGAAAAAGACTGTATTAAGAAAAAACTACAGCCCAATCTCTCTCATGAACTAATATATAATAAAATCCTCAACAAAATATTAGCAAACTAAACAGAATGTATAGAAAGAATTATACAGCATGAACAAATGGGACTTGTTCTAGTTATGCAAGCCTGGATCAACATTTGAAAAACAATGTGCCCTACAATATCAGCGGCCTAAAGAAGAAAAAAATCATATACAGGCACATACCTCGGAGATATTGTGGGGATGGTTCCAGACCACTGCAATAAAGCGAATATTAATAAAGCAAGTCACATGATTTTTTTTTTTGGTTTCCCAGTGCACATAAAATTATGCTTACACTATACTGTAGTCTATTAAAGTGCAACAGCATTACGCCCCCCCAAAAATGTACGTACCTTAATTTAAAAATATTTTATTACTAAAAAATGCTAACCATAATCTGAGCCTTCAGGGAGTAGTAATCTTTTTGCAACAGGAACATCAAAGATCACTTATCACAGACCGCAGCAAATATAATAATAATGAAAAAGTTTCAAATAGTTTTGAATTACCAACATGTGACACAGAGACACGAAGTAAGCAAATGCCGTTGGAAAAATGGCACCGATAGACTGGCTCAACGCAGGGTCACCACAAAACGTCAATTTGTAAAAACGCAATATCTGCAAAGTGCAATAAAGTGAAGCGCACTAAAACGAGGTCTGCCTGTAACCTTACCAACATGGAGAATCCAATACCCATTTATGAAAAAAATTCAGCAAATTAGGAATAGAGGGAAGTACCTCAACTTCATAGAGAGCATCTAGAAAACACCCATAGCTCTTGTCAGACTTAATGGTGAAAGACTGAACACTCTCTCCTGAAGATCAGGAACAGGCCAAGGACACTGTTCTCACCACTCTTATTTAACATAGCATGGGAGGTTCAACATTGCAATGAGAAAAGACATACAGATTGGGAAGGAAGAAATAAACCTATCCCTATTTGC